GCACTTGAAATCTATCTACGTTTACTTTTATTAGACTGTAAAAATTAAAGTGGCCTACATTTGTGTAACTTGCTACTCTTAACACACTTTAGTATCGATTTTTCTTTCTTTCCCTATCTTCAGCCCCTGGTACAATATTCTGAATTGGCTGGAACAATGAGAAAGTAAAGGAAGCATCTGGGCAAGGTGTGTTTCTAATTAAAATCCTTGAGAGCTACAGTATTCTTTCCATGTATTTATGTCCAATTATCTGGAACTTCACTACTGAATTACATTAAAAGGGCGCCCTCTACTGTCAAATTATATTAAGGGAGTAGAGGGAAAGAGTTTGTTGCCTTAGAACCAGTGATTATAATACACCATTTTCTGTAAGCTCTTCACTTCCAGCAAGAGGAAATGGTCCTGGGGCATATATTTAAAACATATTAAATTACACCACTCCCTCTCCCACTCTTAACAAAAATCTAATTTCAAAACGGGAAATATATATATATGTATATGTATATGTATATGTATATGTATATGTATATGTATATGCATATGCATATGCATATGCATATGTATATGTATATGGGGTTAATTTCAAAACGGAAAATTCTCATGCATGTGTGCACTCCAAATGATATTTTAACTCACCAGGTTTTTTAAACACAAAGATTTTAAACACCCAGTTTAGCTAGACACAAAGGCTGTAGTTTAATGACAAGAATAAAGGTTGCTATTTTCAGTGGAGAAAACTGGGGTCTTAAATGTAATGCATTAAATTAATGTCAAAATGATGATATTGTCTGGACCTAATAAGGGGTTTGGGAACAAAGGTCTTGCAATAATCATGAAGCTAGGCTGGACTATCTATCTATCTATCTATCTATCTATCTATCTATCTATCTATCTATCATCTATCTATCTATCTATCTACCTACCTACCTACCTACCTACCTACCTGTCTATCCATCCATCCAGTGGTGGGATTCAAATAATTTAACAACCGCTTCCTTGCCCTAATGACCGCTGGGTGGGCATGGGCATGGTGGGTGTGGCCAGGGGGTGCGACAGGCAGCACTCTGCCTCCTGCACCCACTGGAAGCAAAAATGGGCCATACCCTGTGCCCCATTTTGGGCCTAGTGGGCCTCCCTGCAGCCCCCTAGGAGCAAAAACGAGTATGTGGGGACTCTTGGAAGGGGTGGTGAGAGGAGGGGAGGGGCCAGCCAGCAATTTAACAACTGGTTCGGCCGAAGTGGTGCATACCGGTTGAATCCCACCTATCTATCTATCTATCTATCTATCTATCTATCTATCTATCTATCTATCTATCTATCT